GCCGGAGAAAGCGGTGGGAACGGGGCGATTGGGCAGCCGGGGATCCCCCCTCTGGGCAGAAGAGGAGGAAAAGGGGGTTAGGGTCACATCCTCATTACCCCCAGGTTTTTCATTTTTACCCCATTTGGGGTAATTTACCCCTGTTCCACCACTGTTCTAGCAGGAGGAGGAGGCAGTCATCATTTTGAGTCCCTGCTTTTGTCTGCAGAGGTGTAAATATCTACAAAATATAGAGTCAAGAGAGATCAACATTTTTCACATTGTTAGCAAAGGTGATTTCTCAACTAGCCAAATATGACTGTTTTTCATAGCATGTGAATTTATTGACTGATGTATTTTGCATTTAGACCACTGTTCTAGCAGGAGGAGGAGGCAGTCATCATTTTGAGTCCCTGCTTTTGTCTGCAGAGGTGTAAATATCTACAAAATATAGAGTCAAGAGAGATCAACATTTTTCACATTGTTAGCAAAGGTGATTTCTCAACTAGCCAAATATGACTGTTTTTCATAGCATGTGAATTTATTGACTGATGTATTTTGCATTTAGTGTGTTATGTTTTGTGACTAGTCATTGGAAGATACACCAAGGAATCTTAATTTGCAGGTCTGATTGCTAAGTTATGTATCTGTGAAAATCCTATTGTGGGATAATTTTTTTGTATGTTAAAGCCAGAGTTCCATAAAGACTAATGTAAACTGAGATTGCAGAGCATTTTAAAGGATTTAATGGAGAGTAGTTGAATTGCATAACAGTCTTGACTTTTCCATTATCTACTCAGAAAACTGAGTAGACATGATATGAGCTCTCACGCCAAATATTTTGTATTATCCTGACTATCACTTTGCATGTTAGATTAGGTTGAAAGAATGGGAAGATCTAGATTTTTAAAATGTTTGGCTTAATGAGCCAGCAATCTTTCCTACCACTTGGAAATACTTGCATGGCTTTGGCTTCCAGTTAAGGAGAGGACTGTAACCAAATTCATTTAGTTCAGTGCACCTGCAGTTTCCTTGTTCAGTCAATAGAAGTAGAGGGTTGGGGCCCATAATTGCAGTCCTCCATTGGGAAAAATTGCACACATTTGCATACAGATCTAGTAAGTTCTGTTTCTGATCCAGGACAAGAATGAGAAGTTTGTGGGGTGGGAGGTAAATACTACCATTCCAATTGTCCACTGGCCGTGTGGAGGGAGAGCAATATACTGAACTGGAAGTAGCTCTTGCAATTATGGGCTGCCACAAAGCCACAGATTCCCTGCCATCTTCAGTCAGATATAACAGTGGAAATTCCCTTGAAATCACAGGGGCATTCCTGCAGTGATATTCAATTTGGAACTGTTCTCCCTCTGAAGAGGGACTGAATTTTGGGAGACAGGTGAGGTCAGTAGGAAACTTCTGATAGGCCAAATTTCAGCTGCAGGATTAAGCCCACAGTCTAGAGTTTCTCTTCTCCTGATCTAGAATATGAACCCAGATCTGTGTGTTCTAAGTATACTAGCTCTCTTTTCAATTTTCATTTGAAAGGGCTTGATTCTCT